TTCTGGAGGCTTTGTATTGAAATCCAGCAGCTACAGAGGAGGAAGTGCCTTGAACTAAATACTGTTGAGAACTGTGTTATTTCTCAGGGGCAGGGCAGTGGAAAAGGGACAAGAAGAATGCCTTTATGTATGGCACAAGAACTACATCTTAACCATCTCAGGTGTAGAAAAACATTTAAGATCAGGAGCTTTTTTATGGTGGAACTGCAATCCTTAGCAAAACACATCTCTAGAGACAAAAGCTATGATTACCTCCAATTATATTGCCAAGCAGAAAATTAAAGCAATAATCAAAGAACCCGAATGGCTGCTTTTTATCTCTGGAAGGGAATGAAAGTCTTCTAACTATATTTTTTATGGCTTTTCTTTTTAAGTAAATTATTTTGAATCTATAATATGTAATTTATGACTTAAATACCCTACATCTGTTGAGCAGCTCTCTGATCTTGTAGAAACATTCCCAAAGCCATGCCTTACCTTTCATTAACACACAAACTGAAATGGTGTCCTGTAGGTAAGCACTTAAATGTGTTTATTTGAGCTTCTGGAATGCGGTCTGGGAACCAGGTTCCCAGGTTAAAATATGGCTGTTTTTGGGGTTTTTCTATAGGCTGATAGATGAGTCACACAATCTCACTATATTCTGCTATCTAAAAGTGGCAAAAGCCTGTAATTTCTAGAAATCTCCTTAGTGGTTTTAGGGTCTTGGGCTGTGGAGAGGAAAGAATTGGTTTAATTCTTTCTTGCCCCATTCTTTCAGTTCCCTTAGATATGATAAGGCCTAAGTATTTTACCTCAAGGCTGCAAAGTTGTGCCTTAGACCTAAAAACATCATAACCTCTGTCTGTTAGAAAATTCAACAGAATACTGTTGCCTTGGCTCTTCAGAAAGCTCTTCTGAGGGGGCACACAACACTACACCATCTACGTATTGCAAAACTGACTTGGGGAAAACTATAGCATTTCCTTTTAGCAATCAGGTTCTAGGGATGTCTTCATCTCTTTCTGATAAATAGTTGACAATTTAAAATAACTAAAGGGCTTAGTTCTCATATTTCTTAGACCTTTAAGAATACATGCCTGAAAATGTTTTCTATTTTAATCTCCTATTTGATTGATTGACAGGCTAGTAGGGGTCTTGTATAGGAACTGCTTGTGTTCCAGTAGAAGCCAGTTATTCACCTGGCTGCCTGTCTTTTGAGCTTCCAAAATTAAGATAATATTTGTCTCCAAATGTAATACTACTTATCTCTCATTAAAAACAAGAATTTGCACCAGGGAAACTATTCGGTATAAGATCCTAATAAGATTGCTGACATTTAGAAATGGGAAGAAAGGAGCTAAAGGTGTAGGGAAGGTGGGATGGGTAGGGGAAGAGTAATAAGGGAAAAGAAAAAAATGTGAGATGATGAAAAGATGGAAATAAAGTGTTGGGGGTGAAGGGAGGGCAGGGGTGAGGGGAAAAAATGAGAATCAAGACTTGTCATGTAGAGGTACAAGATCCCAACAATGAATGTAACTGTACTTTATCCCTAAAAATGTACCAATAAACTCAATTAAAGCTGAAAAAAAATAAGAATTCGATTTAAGAGCAATATTGTACCTTTCTAATCTAGTCCATAGGTCTGAGTAAGTTCTCTAAAGACCTCAATGTACATATCAAGGTCAACCAAAAACTTTATTAGGTCTCATTTAATCTGTTTGAGATCACTGAGAAAAAGACACACGAACATAGTCCTGTATTTACCATTTACTTCTTGCAAGGGATATTGTCTTTGAGGGGCCTGAACAACTTAGTTAAGGAGGGATTTAGCCTCATGCAGGTTTTAATTATGGCTGGGCTATATACTCCATGCTCAGCACCTGATGATCAAGTTTTAAAGTTGTCTTGGAAACTTTGTTCTCAGGTTCTAGAGTGAGGAGTAGCCTCAGGTTTAGAGGTGCTGAATATCTTAAGGGTGAGTTGTCTTTCATTACATTTACACTTGAGTACAAGCAAGAAATACTTTAATGTAAATAAAATCTCAACGTAAGATGATTGTGACCATTTTCTCTCTTTTACAACATAATTCTAATTGTGCGATAGCATCATAGCACTTTCCTCTGTGTACTTGGCTTTAGGAGGTAGGCACACCACGAGGAGGTGTAGGGAAATACGAAATTGTTCCTTCATACATTTGAGAGGAGTGTGAGGTTCAGATATGGAGTCCCTAATCTGAAACAACAAACAAATATGGCATCCCAAAAGTCTCTGCTTGATTCCTTTTCTCCCTAGGGTGTCCCCCAAGCTTTAATCCACTCCAGGGTAGGTAGATACCAGAAAATAAAACTGGAATGGACTATTTACCCTTTACCAGCACAAGATCTTATCTTCCTCAGAGAACTCATATCCTTACTCCAATAGGATATGACTCAAAACACAAGTTACAGTTGACTTCAACTATGTTTAGAGAAGCTAGCAAACCAAGAAATTCAAACCACTGCTTTCTAGTTCCTATTAGACCTGTTTGTTAGAAATTCAAACCACTGCTTTCTAGTTCATCTGCTGAGCCAGGACCTCATCTGGGCTCTTTGCTTTTTCCATTGTTGATGATATGCATCCACTCTGGTCACTGATTACAGGGTGAGTAGGCAATTTAGCTCCCCTCTACTCAGGTCCTCTGTCTTGTTCTCATCACCCACCTCCCCGCTGCCAGGGGACTTCTTGGAAATCTAAGTGCTTGGTCAGAGAGACCCTCTCAGGCCACTTTGCCCAGGACCATTCCCCTGGGGGACTCTCCATCAGCCTGACTCCCCTTGCTCTCCTCTTCTGGGGACTGGCTCAGGGAGTATAAAAAGAAAGATGTCCTCTCTTTTGACCTCTTCCTAGGGAGCTAGCTCCTCCTCACCCACTCTAACATGGGTTGGTACAAGACCTAAGTGTCATTAACTCTGCTGTTTTTCCTATACATCTGGTGGTTCCTAATCCCTACACTCTATTGTCTCATGCTCCCTCCTTCTCTCTGTTTTAAGATAGAGCTCTTTTTCTTTTTCCTTGTTTGCTGCCTATACTTACCCCTTCCACCACCTCTAGATATTCCTCTCTGCTAAAGGGCTCATCCCTAGCCTTAAAGGAGCCCCTAGGTAAGACCCAGGGAGGTCCACCCCATGGGACATTGTGATGCCTTAACTACAGGGGCACCTACTTATCTTCTCAGCCTTATTCAATTCTTTTGGAGTTACTCTTTGGAATCAGACTCACTGCCACAGACCTGCTGGAAAACTTTTGATAAGTGCCTTTTAGTAACAACTTACTATTTTATCATCACCTTTCTAGGCATTCTGGGTTGTTTACACTAAAATGTACTCATCTCTTGTTGTCGCCTTCACCCTGCTTTTAGGGATTACCCTTTGCACCTCCTAATTTTCTTGTCCTGAACAATGCAAACAAGGTGGAAAGGTCTGGACAATGGACTGGAGCAGGGCCAGGCTAATAGATTATGGTCCCTTATGGTTTTGGTCCTATTCCTCCTGCTATAAAGGTGCCACCCTCTGCAGCTATGAAGGACAAAAATATTGGACAGGTAAGATCATCCATACATGGTCTCTAACTATGGAAAAAAAAAACCCTGGTGAGAAGGCCTGTTGGAGTTACTTGGCACCCATTAGGGTAGTGAGAGGGGAGGAGTCCAAAATATGGCTCTAAAGGAGGTTGTTGACAAACAAAGAAGAGTGATGGAGCCCTTCAGACCCACTAGCCCACCTCCCTATCAAGGAATACACATCCAGGTGGTTAACCAGATAAACCAGTCTCAAAAAAGATTACAACATCTATTCAATATCACTCTCCACTACCTCACAGCTAATATTTCTGACTGCTGGATGTGCTTATCTGTGTACCCCCTCTCATTCACTCCAATTCCACCCCCCTCCCAGAGTTTAATGTGTCAATCCCTGATAAAAACAACCTCTCCATGCTTTTGGGACTCTTTGCTATGAGCTGCCCACTCCCCACACAACTTATTAACTTAATATGTATGGGAAATGATATCAACCTTACTCATTTTATTTGCTCCTGCTTTGTCTCTCAAGAATGTCCAGTCTGCCTGTCCAACAGCCTATATTTCATATGTAATCAAGAGGCATTTGGATGCCTCAATCAGTCTGATATTTTCTCTTACATATCCTTCCTTATCCATCCCCTGACCATTTATACAGAAGCCTCGATATCTAAACAAGTTATCCCACAGAACATAATCAGAAGAGCAGCTCACATTCTAGACCTCTTCTTAATGGGAGTGGGGGTCCTCACTGGGATGGCAACAGGGATAGCAGGCATTTCTACATCCACACATTTCCATCAGGCCCTGTCCATAGAGATTTTGGAAGACATGGATAAAATAAGCCAGTCCTTAAATATAGTACAGGATTAAATAAATTCTCTAGCAGCAGTCGTGTTACAAAATAGAAGGGCCCTTTATGTGCTGACAATGGCCCAAGGGAATGTGCCAGGTGCTAGGAGTAAGAATGCTGTTATTTTGTTAACCAGTCAGGGGTTTTTGAAACAAAAGTTAAAGAATTACAGCAGCAAATCAAAGAGCAGAAGAGACGATGGGATTCTTGGGGAATACACCAAAGCTATTCCTGGCTTCCCCAAGTTATGCCTTGGCTACTCCCCTTGTTGGGGCTACTGGCTTGTATATGTCTTTGAATCAGGGTAGGGCCCTGTCTGTTTTGCTGTTTTCAAAATTTCTTGCAGAAACAAGAGGGCATTTACCAACCAGATAGTCACAGAACTCATCATAGAGGGATATTGGCCACTGTGGCAGAGGGAAGAAGTCCCCACCTACCACTGCCCCAACCAGATCCAGGTTTAGCCCCAAACTGCACCCCTTTGTCAGCTTGAAGCAGACAGAAGAAGAAGCCTTCACCCAATAACCATAAAACAAAAGCCTGGATGGTTAGACTTCCCTTGCCTTAAGATTGCCATTATTCCCCTTCCCACAGTGCCCTGCTTCTTACCTAAAAACATAACTTCTCCCATCTATCAAAAGAACAGCAATCTTCTTCCCGTGATGTCTCTTCCTGCCAAAAAGTAACCAGATACTTGCTACCTCTGAGTAACCAGTGATGCCACAAGCCCCTCCTAGTGATGTCACAGGCTCCTCCAATCCCTTAATACTACCTCACTTAACTCCACCCCACTCCTATGAGCCTCACCCCAGTCCTATAAAAGAAGCTCTCTGTTCTGCCATATTGCTCTCTCTCTTTTGATCAAAGACAGCCTGGAAGATTGTCCCTATGATAACGGCTTGTAGTGGTTCTGATCTGGTCATGGTTTTCAGCTTTTTTACCTGAGAGTTCCTTGAAAGACAGGGAGGAAAATAAGGCACTTTTCCTGCAGAAGAGATCACCTCCAGAGATGCTAAGTCAGAGATTCTGCCCTGGGCCCTGGGGTAGAGAAAGCTCTGAGAAATTTCTGTTGTCTACCCAGTTTTTTAGGCAACTTTTATTAGCAGCAAAGAAGGCTACTCCTTTAAGGTCCATTTTACATTCACTAAGTATTTAAAACACATAGTTTGTCCTAGCAGCCACAATCAACATAGTAAAGGCACCTTTATGGACTTCCTATGCAAGCATATGAAGGAAGAGAAAGGTTGGCCACAATAGTCCCATATTCTAGTTAGCCTGTTAACACACAAATGCAAGTTACTGGTTGCTATTTTCTCTAGTGTAAGACAAAGCAGTTGTAGTGAGTTATATTAGTCTTACTTTCTAGAAGGAGAAGCAGTCTGACTACAAGGGATACTAGAACTCCCAACAAGTTGGAGAAAAGTTAAATGGAGTTTCTAACTCACTAGAAGAGAGAAAAAGTCCAAATAAAGTTCAAGTTGGTTAAACATCCAAAAATCACCATACAGCATTTTATAAGACCACAGTCAATGCTCCAAAGTCTATAACCTATCAGAAAAGGTGTTTTCCACCCCTACACACATATATGATGAAGACCATGCCTGGGGTATGGGTGGAGAAAGTTCAGTTTTTTAATCTATGAAAGATCTATTTCTTATATTTGTCTAGAGGCCTATCCTACTAGTAGTATAGAAAGCAATCCAAACCTGTAGTTCAACTCCTTTTTTTTTTTTTTTTTGGTACTGGGGATTGAACTTGGGTCCTTGTGCTTGTGAGGAAAGTGGTGGATGTAGCTCAAATCTTAATGGAGGCTTAAGTAAGGGCTCTGATGGTATCATTTCAGATCACTGTGAGACAGAGGATACCTAATGGTCACCGACAGAGTTCCCTTTTCAACTCACAGAGGAGTCCAGATAGGACAAGATGTAGAGATTTTCTGCTGATTACTCAGATAGGTTGTCAGGATCTAGTTTCTTCTGAGGGACCTTTGGATATCTTCCAGAGAGTAGCCCTGCCCATGACCCTTCAGCTGTCACCTCAGTTTTGGGTAGTTCCATGCAATCAGAGACCTGTCTCCGAAAGGAACCAAATTGCTTATCTGATGAATGTTCCACTGGCCATTGGCATCAATGGGAGTGAAGATTCACCAGAGGGCAACTGGAGAAACCTGTCCTCTACTTTGAGTAGTAGCTACCCTAAGAACAATTACTAGATAGCAGAGTAACCACCATTTGTTTATGATTCTATAAGGGACAGATAAAAGTGATTTCATAAGATACCCATTTTATAGCATTTTGAAGCCACCCAGTTCAAATGCAACATATGCAACACAAGAATAAAATGTAATTTTAACAAAAGACAATGCATAAGAAAAACAAGAATTTTTCAAACATTTAAAACACACAATTTAAAATTAAGACACTTTTGAAACAAAAACTGAATGAAGGCCAGAATTTATGAAACAAAAACCAGAATATTTTAAACAAATGAGAGCCTATGAAACAAGTTACAATCTATGAAGCAAAAAGACCAAAGTTAGAACCTATGAAAGAAAACTCTTACCTCTGACCAGTAATCTTGGTGGAAGACCTCCAAAATGATATAAGGGGAAGAAATGGAACGCCCAAATCTGCTAGATATTAAAAATGCAAGTTTGTGTTCTCTAAAACTGAAGAATGAATTCTAGGAGCAATGGAGGTTAAGAGTAGGAAAAATTTATTGAGGGAAAGAAAGCTTCTGTCTAAGAAAACAGAAGGGGGGCTGGAAAGCAGATTGCCCCAAGCCTACTCTGTTACATACTAGACTTACAACATCAGCTCTCCTGGTCTCCAGCTTGTTCAGTAAATATTTAGGAACTTGTCAGTTTCTATCGATTCATCAGATGAGCCAATTCTTTATAGTCTCTCTCCCCTCACAGGTGTTTGTGTGTGTGTGTGTGTGTGTGTGTGTGTGTGTGCATGCGTGTGCGTGTACAAATGTGAGTGCATATCCTTATAGTTCTATTTTCCTTGGGAACTCTGACTAATACTTCATGTTAACTTTGGAGCACAGGTATGTCAAAAAGTTTTATGTAAAGCCACACATCTTCCATGTCACCAAACCAGACCTGAAACCCATGTCTTCTGACTCTACAAAGTCCCATTTGGAAGTTTCCTTGCTTATCATAGTTTGGTGTTCAGCAGAATTTGGCCTAACACTAATTTAGAGGGTAGCATGTGTGCTCCACAGTATAAAAATTTCCTTGAGATCAGACTCTGAAACCATCTCAAACTAGCTCCTCTGGTTCTGCTTCAGTCCTTCCACAATTGTCTCTGTCCTTCTTTCCTTTAAACTGAGGGTTTCAGTTTTTCTTTTTGAAAGTATGATGTTGTTAGCCCTAAAACTGTGAGAGAGGGATAAATAACTACCACCATTTTAGTTATTACTGTTACTACATGCAGTTATTAGATAAAATGTAAAGACATACATAATACAAAATATACACTGAAGGCACAGGCAAGAAAAATGTGTGAGTACATATTTCAAATTTAACATTGAATTTGTGAAATTTTAAAGTCAAATCTTTGAATTCTTACTTTACTAAAACATCAAAAAAGTTTCATCTCCCAGGTGAAGCTTTATGAAATTGCTCCCCAGAAGAAGCTAACTCCTTTACTTTTATGTCCCTTCCTCTAAGGAAAAATATATATTTTTTATTCCAGTTATTAGACACTGTTGTGAATATTTATTTATATGTCCTTTGTCCTACACTGGTAGTTTTGTTTTTGCTTATTTTGAAAGATAGCAATGTTATCCTTGTAGCTCAAACTCTTCTTTTGGAACCTATCATGTTTTAATTACTCTGTTAAGTCTTATATGTATCTCTCAAGTCCCCCAAACTTTCCACTAAACCAGGAAAACTTTTGCAAGGAGCTTTCAGAGAAAAATTAGAGGAGTTATCCATTATGTAGAACATCTTCTGATATTAAACTGACATAATTTTAACCAAAAATACCTAGACATTTATCACTTTTTCCAGTTTCCTTGGTGATGGCTGGGGAAAAGAAGGCATAGCACTTTAGGCCTTGTCTTGGCTTAATGAAAGGAGGAAATTGCTTACCAAGGTACAACTACCCAAGCTTATGCTAAACCTTCAGCTAATGCAGTTCAGGAAGAAAAGGTCTCTGATTAATTTCTGCTGCCCAATTCATGCACAGAGAAATAAAAAACAGCAGCCAGTATAATTAGCAAGCAGTTCTTCTAGCATCAGGATTTACACCTGGACATGTTCACTGAGGTTGAGATGAACATTTGCTAAGGCAAATGCTTTTTGAAAAATTTTAAAGCTAATGATCTTGCACTGACAGCATAACCTTGAGTTTATTGCCAAATGGAATGCCAAATGTAAACACTTAATGGAAGGAAACAAGCAACAATAATGGTCCTTCTCATAACCCCCAGATCAGTGACTCTGAGTACTTCTGAGGTCAATGGAAACACTTTTCTAGTTGCTAATATTTTAATGCAATTTTATGATCAGACTTGATATGGATGAGCAACACTTCATCAGTCAGAACAAGATGCAATAATTCTTGTCCTCAAATTTCTTATCTTCAAAAGTGTAAATAATCAACCGTGGACTATAATATGGGCAATTCATTACTCTGAAAGATTGCAAAAAGCCACAGGTAAAATTATTAAGCTTGACTCTGGGATCAGGGACATTTTTGGAATTTATCTTATAAAGTGTAGGGAACTGGAGCCATAGGTTTTTTAGATGAGTACACAATAAATTTTTCATCATTTATGATTATAATATTTCATCATTTAAGACTATTAAGTGATAAGAGATTTAGTGAAAGAAACACAAGGTATAGAAAGAAAATAACTGGGTATAAATCATATTTTCTAATTTCAAACAGGTTAAACAATCACTTCTAATTGCCTTGTCACAGAAAAGTGAATAATAATTCAGCATCTATAAGAGTTAGAGGAAGAAAACCAGGCATGGTGGCGCATACCTGTAATCCTGGCACAAGGGAGGATGAGGCAGGAGGATCGCTATGAGTTTGAGACCAACCTGGGGTACATAGTGAGTTCCAGTTCAGTCTCAACTACATAGTGAGACACTGTCTCAAAAAAAACAAAAGAGTTAGAGGAAGATAAAATAAGCTAATATATATGGAAATGAATGACTCAGACACTGTCAACAACAAAGTAGTCAATAAATATTAAATGAATATGAAGTAGTAGGAAGCATTCATTTATGATACAAATTAGACAATTCCAATATTACAATATTTTTTTTTCAGCTTTAATTGAGTTTTTTGGTACATTTTAAGGATACAGTACAGTTGCATTCATTGTTGGGATCTTGTACCTCTAGATGACAAGTCTTGATTCTCATTTTTTCCCCTTGTCCCTGCCCTCCCTTCACCCCCTCCTTCCTCCCCATCTACAAACACTTTATTTTAATCTTTTCATTATCTCACGTTTTTTTCTTTTCCCTTATTACCCTTCCCCTACCCATCCCACCTTCCCTACACCTTTAGCTCCTTTTTCCCATTTCCAAATGTCAGTAATCTTATTAGGATCTTATGTATTATTGCAGATTATTCACACCAGTGAAACTATGTGGTATTTACACATGTGTGACTTATTTATTTCACTTAGGAGTATATCTTCAATATGT